GCTTATTCCACTGAGCCATCTCCCCGGCCCCGCAGTTTATGTGTTTGATGTTTGGATTTCTACATATTGGTTTGGTTTGGCAAATCATACAAGGGGCACCTACTTGTATGTTGAAAATGTGATGAGTTAGGCTAATGGCATTGGGGAAGGTGAGATGATGTCTTGTTCTCTTTTTGTACAAATTGACTTAAGAACTTATTACATCTACATATCAGGAATACATCTAAGGTCTTCAACTTTTAAGCAGTTACTGAATTTGTTAAGGGATCATGTAAAGATCTCGTTAAGCGTTTGCTTTAAAGATCTTTCCCAGAAATCCAGGAGGCTGGGGTAAGAGAACCACAAGTTCCAGCCAGCCTGGGAAATTTAGCACCTTAATAAAATTCTGTGTCAAAGGAAAATTAAAAAACAAGAGCTGGGGATGTAACTCATTGCAACAATCCTGGGTATAATCCCCAATACGAAAAAAAATTCTTTTTCACATTTAGCATTTATTTATATGGGAAAAAGACCATACAAGAGTAAAATCCACCTTGGTTAAAGCTTTTTTTCAGGGTTAAGTACCTTTTTTCAGTGCATGTAAATCCTTAATTTAGACTACTTATGAAGGTGTTAATTTGAATATCCTAAACTGTAAAATTCTGAAAAGACATGCAGTTACATAACTTTGCAGTGAAAGAAGTGCTTCTAGTCATACATTAGCAAGTTTTCCAAAGTAGAAATCCTATGAACTCATAACAGATCTGTTTGTAGTCATCAATTCCATTAGTTTGCTGTTAAATTCTGGTAAAGTGCTAGGGAATGGTTGCTCTTTAATTAAATAATTATCATATTGTTCTGTTTATACTATTTGTTCAATGATACAGCCTTTTCTTCCAGCTCTGGAAGGTGATAAGTTTAAGCTAATTTAGATTTTGTGAAAATGAAGTCCAAACCAAGAGGTTCAGTGCTATTTCTTTTCTTTTATATCTATGTCTGTGTCTATATCTGTATCTGTATCCATATCCATATCTGTACCCACACCCATGCCCACATCCATACCCATATCCACATCCACATCCACACCCACACCAACACCCACAATCACATCCACATTCACATCCACATCCATATTCACATCCACATCCACATCCACACACCACACCCACATCCACATCCGCACACCACACCCACATCCACATCCACATCCACACCCACATCCACACCCATATCCACATCCACATCCATATCCACATCCACATCCACACCCACACCCACATCCACACACCATACCCACATTCACATCCACATTCACATCCATATCCACACCCACACCCACATCCACACACCACACCCACATTCACATCCACATTCACATCCACATCAATATCCACAACCACACCCACATCCACACCCATATACACATCCACATCCATATCCACACCCACATCTACACCCACACCCATATCCACATCCATATCGATATCCACACCCACACTCACATTCACATCCACATCCACATCCACACCCACACCCAGATCCACATCTACATCCATATCCATATCCACACCCACACCCACATTCACACCCACATCCACATCCACATCCACATAAACATCCACACACCACACCCACATCCACATCCACATCCACACCCACATCCACACCCATACCCACATCCACACCCATACCCACATCCAGATCCACATCCACATCCATATCCATATCCACATCCACACCCACATGCACATCCACATCTACACCCACATTCACAGCCACATTCACATCCACATCCATATCCACATCTACACCCACATCCACATCTACATCCAAACCCACACCCACACCCACATTCACCCCCACATTCACATCCACATTCACATCCACACCACACCCACATCCACACCCATACACACATCCACACCCATATCCACACTCACATGCACATCCACACCCAGATCCACATCCATATCCATATCCACACCCACACCCACATTCACACCCACATCCATATCCACATAAACACCCACACACCACACCCACATCCACATCCACACCCACACCCACATCCACACCCATACACACATCCACACCCATATCCACACTCACATACACATCCACACCCACATCCACACCCATATCCATATCCACACCCACACCCACATCCACACCCACATTCACATGCACATTCACACCCACATCCATATCCACATAAACACCCAAACACCACACCCACATCCACATCCACACCCACACCCACATCCACACCCATACCCACATCCACATCCATATCCACACCCACACCCACATCCACACCCACACCCACATCTATATCCACATCCATATCCATATCCACACCCACACCCACATTCACATCCACATCCACATCCACACCCACATCCAGATCCACATCCACATCCATATCCACACCCACACCCACACCCACATTCACATCCACATTCACACCCATATGCACACCCACATCCACACCCATATCCATACCCACATCCACATCCATATCCACACCCACACCCACATTCACATCCACATTCATACCCACATCCATATCCACATCCACATAAACATCCACACACCACACCCACATCCACATCCACATCCACATCCACACCCATGCCCACATCCACATCCATATCCACACCCACACCCACATCCACACCCACACCCACATCCACACCCATATCCATATCCACATCCATATCCACACCCACACTCACATTCACATCCACATCCACATCTACACCCACATCCAGATCCACATCCACATCCATATCCATATCCACACCACTATCACTTTTTGCTTGGTTAATCTTTTCCCAGGACAGGGCTTGCACTATATGATGTTCTGAATAAGTAATTTGTTGGTTTTTATGGCAGGACTTAAAAACTTTCTGTTTTCATTTTTGTATTAAAGGGATCTGACCCTGTCAATGAAAACCGACCAAAAAAGATTCTCATTTCCAGTATCCATAAACAGGAGAAGGCACAGGCGAAGCCCTCTAAGCCTATCAAATCAGGTAAAAGAATAAATCCTGACTCCCCTAAGATGGCTCTGGAAGGGTGTGAAACATTTGCAATTTTAAATTCAGTTAATATCTGTCTCTCGGGGCCGGGGAGATGGCTCAGTAGGATAAGCGCTTGATTGGCAAACATCAAGGATCTGAGTTCAATCCCCAGTTCCGCAAAAAAAAAAAAAAAAAAAAAAAAATCTGTCTCTCTTTTCCTAATTCAGCTTCATGATCATCTCATGACTGCCATAAGACAATAACAGATGTAAGCTTGCTTTAGGCAAATGCAATTATCATAACCAATATAAGTGCTTATGTAAATTTCAGAGGGTCTTACAGTGTTTCCCCTTACAAAGAAGCTGTTGAGGCACAAAACTGTGATTACTCACTAAACCATTCTTGTGATTGAGTATGCGAGAGGAAAGTCCCAAGTCATTTTCCAGCTCATAACAAAGTAGTAGTTTTTTACCTGCTATCCCTCCAAGAAACTGTTGAAAACAACCCACAGGGTCTTTTTCAGTAGGCTACACCAGGTTTGAACTTGCTATGTAGCCCACAAATCTCCTGCCTCAACCTCCCAAGTGTTGGGATTAAAGGTGTGCACTGTCATGCTTGGCTCACAGTTCTCTGCATTCTGAGCAGGAATGTGAGATGTGGGGAAATGTTGACAGCTGAAAAAAATACTGTGATACGATATAAAAGAATGTTATAACATCAATAAGAGTTGTGTTCCACAGGGATTGTTTTTTTCAGCAAGAGCAGAAGACTGATTTTTTTTGTTTCAAAATAATAGTAGGTTTATTTCTGTGCTATGAAAGTTGTACATAGATAGAGGTGACTTTTAAACTGTCTCTGAATCAAAGTGTCTTGGGTCCTGAGCTGTCTAGACATATTAGCTTAAAACAAGAATGTATAGAGTCCCCATGATGTGGGATTATCTTACCTACTAAATATTAGGGAGGGGCCAGGGAGATGGCTCAGTAGAATAAGCGCTTGTCTGGCAAGCACAAGGGCCTGAGTTCAATCCCCAGTTCTGCCAAAAATAAATAAATAAGCAAGTAAGTAAATAAATAAATAAATGGTAGGGAGACATGTGAGGTGAAGGAAAAAGAATATGAGGGGCAAGTGATAGAGACAAGGATCATTATGGAAGGGGCTTAGGTACTGGCTTTGCAAAAGATATAAAAGAATTTATTTGCCACTGCTATGGCTATTAAAAAATCACAAGAAACTGGAGATAAGACTTGTATAGAAATATGATTAACATTTAATTGAAAAACATCAGGGCTGGTGAGATAGCTCAGTGGATTAAGTGCCTGCTTTGGCAAGCCTAGGGACCAGAGTTCCATTCCCGGTCCTGCATGCTGTGCAAGCCCTGTCCCAGGGGAGCGCTGAGCCAGGGACCAAGTCCAGGCATAGTGGCGCATGCCTGTAATCCCAGCGCTGGGGAGGCTGAAAACAGGAGAACCACTATGAGTCTAGCTGTGTAGTGAGACCCTGTACCAAATACATAAAATGAAAAAGAAAAACATCCCAAATGGATTTGAAATCACTCTTAATTCTATTTTTACTACACAGCAATCATTATGTATTTAAATACAAACATAACTACGTACATTCTTTTGAACCATGCATTTTATAGCCTGGTTTTCATTAATATTCTATCAGCCTATCTCAGTGCCCATAAATACACATCTATGTAATCAGAACTGATTTTTTTGCAGATTTTTTTTAGTTTTATTTTTAAAGAAAAGTTAACAAAAGAAAAATTGAAAACATAAACAAAATTCCATAACAATATGACAGGAGGGTAACAATGTTTAATGCATTGCATATTGTTTTATTTAAATTAGTTACTCAGAGTATGAGATGTTATCTAAACAATATTAGCACAAACCTATTTTTTCAATGAATCAATAGAAATTAGTAATATAACTGTTTCAACCCTCTTTTATATTTGTATATATTTATAAATACTTGTATATAAATATAAAATAATTATATTAATATATCTATGTATATTTTTCTTTTGCTTTTCCCTTCATCCTTTTTTTAAAAAATTAATTTTATTGAAAAAGAAATAGCAGTGAGACAGTTTCAAAACAGGTTAGTAGGACAGTTACAATAATTAATACATTGCATATTGTTGTCTTCATAGTAGTTATTCATAGTACAAGATGCAGAACATGATATCTTGTCTAACCACTATCAGTACAAATCTTTCTTCTCATTGAACTAAGAGAAAGTGGCTGTATATCTATACTAACTATTTTGTATATACAGATATATATATATTTTTTCACTACAAAATGGTCCTTTATATCCCCTTTTTTGTTTGGTGTTGTCAGAGATGGGTATTCCATTGCCATTCAAATACTGTAGGTGTGTGAATTCAGCAAAATAATCCAATATAGGATGGATTTATATTAAACCATTTTTTGTTTTCTCTCTTAATCCTTTTCATGAAGAAATTAGACTAGAAATTCTGGGATACATTGTTTGGCCATGAAATAGCAGTAATGGACCTGCTCAGTGCCTCATGGGTGCTACATTCCTGTAAAGTGGTTCTCAGCTCTGAGCTTTAGAATTATGTGGTAAAGCTTTGAAAAATTACAGATGGCCCTGGTCCCATCTCTTGTGATTCTAATTCAACTGGTTCAGAAAATGACATGAGCATTACAAGTTTTTTAAAAGCCTTAGGTGATACTATAAACCCAGGATTGAGAGCTACTGACCATTGAGTCTAATTAATCACAGAGCAAGAGGAAGGAGGGAGGTAAGGAGGGGAACTGAGAAATAAGGGAAGTAGTCTGCATGGTCAGGGTGGTTGGTACATCATTATTTAGTACTGACATTTACTAGGTAGATCCAATGAATCATTAGTTATTTCATTTCATACTGGCAATCATTAGTTATTTCATTTCAGACTGGCAAACCAAATAATATTACCTGATTCAAAATTTTAAAAACTAAACAGACACAATGTTTCCTTTCTAATCTCAGTGCAAGCATTGCAGGACAATCTAATAATAACCACCAAAGCGTGGCAGTTAGAGCTTTAAGAATTACCTCTCAGGCTTTCCTGTGTTAGGCCCCTGTGGTCATGGCCATGTTGATTTTATCCCTTTGACATACCACTCATGGCACTGCCTGTGAACTGTCTTTTAGAAGGCTGGCTTCCATGAGGGCAGGAATTGGAAAGTACTAAGAGAAAGGAGATCAGAAGAAATCTGAAAGGATAAAACAATTTATTTCACCCTATAAACACAGCCCAATATTTCTGAGGCTTCTTATGGCTTATGTGTTGTTTGCTGTGCTTCCAGTTGTATTTGAAGATCAGAAGATGCTGCCCACATCTGGCATGGGAAAAGAAATGAAACGATCTTTAAGTCTTCCATCTGGGCTACAGTACCTGGATGATCCAGTTAAGTCAAATGACTCCAGTGAGCCTGTCTGGTTCTCCATTGCCAAGAAGAAAGCCAAAGCATGGAGCCACATAGCAGAGGTCATGCCATAAATAGCTCCTGAGTGGAGCATCAGAATTGTAGATGACAATCACCAATAACTATAGTAGTTCTATACAATGATTACATTAAGCAAAAGAGTTTTATAAGTGAGAATTAAACCTTTTAATTATTAGAATGAAATAAATATTGTTAAGCTTAACCTTCAATATAGTCACTGCCAGCATTCAGAGACCTAGCATTTTCTGTATAAAAACTGTGGAAATATTTACACTGCTATAGAATGTTTAATTTTGGACATTGTGCCTTAGATAGGAGAAAGTAAAAACATTTTGTTGGAGCAAGCAAAAGATTGTGTTTCCCTCAACCACATAAAGTAATTCTAATGGAAATGTTCAGATGATTTGGCCCACAGATTGGATTTTATGTTTCATGAGCCTGGATAAATGCTTAACTATTTGGTTGCTGATCCAAACTTTGCAAAGGCTTCCAGAAGATGTGGTGGAAATGAAAATTCTAGGTTTCAAAGGAAATTTTGCATAGCCAGGCCTCTAATCAGCCCACTACCCACTAAAGTACTTCCCCTTGTGTCCTGGGCTCCCCTAATGATAGTGCGTGCTAATAACACATGGAACACTTATACCAAGCTTCCTCCCTTTTTGTACATGGCAGGCCTGGCAGCAGTGAGTGGTCCCCTAGCAGGCAGAACATTTCTTGAAGATTATTTTACTTCTCCAGATAATTAGTCTATCATTGTCTGGCCCATTGTCCCAACATTACTGATACCCACTCCAATTTCTCAGAAAGGCAAAGGTGCCTCCAGGCATACATATTCTGAGGTTTAAGCACCTGTGTCACTGTTAACAGTCAACCTTTTACAGATGCCAAAAGCTATACTTTCTATTAGGCAGACGACAAGCTGACCACCCCGAGTTTGGAGCCACTGGAAGGTCCCTTCTCTGGCTCTGGCCTTGTAATTGTGTTCTTACATTCTGAGTGGGATACTACCCAGTGCAAAAGAAGAAGAAGGAGAAGGAGAAGGAGGAGAAGAAGGAGAAGGAGAAGGAGAAGAAAAAAGAAATCTAGGGAGACAGTGAGATCTCAGAGTTAATTTAAGTACTTGGTGTTGGTTTTTGCTACTGATGGTATAATGTGACACTGCACAAACTAATGTGGGATTTTGCATTTTCCTTATAAAAATCTATTTTTTCCAGATATTGTATCTTTACCTCTTTGATAATGTAAGGTTTTGAGTGACTGGGTTTTTATTCCCTTTACATTTCTGTAGTGAATAGTTCATTTGTATAGATGCTTTTTACTCAGATACCCTGGTACTTCTCAGAAATAGACTTTCTTAGGTTATTCTCACCCTGATAATTCCATTAATGATTTCTTTTCCACTGTTAAAGCTGTATTTTTAAATGAAAAGATTTTTAAAATGTCGATGGTGCACATTCTGCTAGGTTTTTCAGCTTCATTTAGCTTTCTTGATTTCTGATATATGCAAAGCAAATAAACTCAATAAAATCTGTTCTGTAGTCTGTATTGGTCTGATGTGGCATGAGGCAGGATGTCTAGTACACTAGTAACAACTCAGACCTGAAGGCTGCCAGAAAAGCAAAATGTCCTTCAGAGGCTGAGTTGCAAAGGAAGAGCCTCAGTGCACGTGTGCCTGCCTGAGCTGATGGCTTCCAGGAGGGCACTGCTATGGGGACAAGTGCTGCTGAAGAGGTCTCGCATCTGGTACCCAGGGAACCAAGCGAGAGGTGGGGGGTGCAGGTGGGTGAGTAGACAGGACTTGATGGTCGGAGATTGTAATCCAGCCTGGCTCTGAACTAAGTCTAAGCCCGATTGCATGGGAGATTCCTGGAACAAGCTATTTTCCAAAGCAGGGGAACGCTGAGCCCAGCGTGGCATGTAGTGAGGGAGGGAAAGGGGCTCTGACCAGATACTTAGCCTGGCCAGCCAGATATTTACCCAGGTTCAGAACAAGAGTTCAGTTGGGGATCCATATTTAAATCAACTAATACAACATGATTTATTTAATGATTTATCGATGACAAATATGCTTTGTTTCCATTTCATAAAGGTCAACTTAGATTTTAGAATTTTCAGATTCCTTAAAGTCATAATCACAATGGCATGGCTCTCCTCTACCCCTCCTTCTTCCTCTCTTCTGGCCCATGCCCTGGTCCAGGCATCCAGCAACCTTAGATCTAAGAGCTTATGGCCTAATAGGACAGTCAGCCTTCCCAAGGAAAGTTCCAGGAGGAGCATGCAGGTCCTGGCATCAGAGTAGGAACTACACAGGGGTCCTTGGAACTATTCAGGAGGGTGGTGGAGCAGGGCAAGTAACCATTGTTCCCATAGGTCCCTGGGCCTGTAGAAAGGGGCATGGCTGGAAGCGAGCCAAATTGGAGACCCTAAAGCTTTGAGCTTGAGAAAATATGTCCTTCTTGCTTACTTCTGAAAACAATACTATAGGAATGACTTACACAACATAAACATAAATGAGATTGGAACCCCTCAAATTACAGTATTATGGGGCTGGGGAAATAGCTCAGTGGCATAAGCACCTGCTTGGCAAGCACAAAGACCCAAGTTCTATTCCAGGTAACCCCCCCAAAAAATCACAGTATATGGAAATGTTTATTATCCTGCCCTTTCAGTCTAAGTAATGGTGATTAAGGGGCCCTGGGTTTGTCTGATTATGTATGTCTAGCCATAAAGAATACTGTGATGGTACATTTTACAACATCAACAGTAATGACCATAGGGATTGTGGAAGCATTACATTTATTTTAATGGACCCCAAGTGAGTATCCAGTAAGTGGAAAAGCTCAGTGTCTAGGGCTTTGGGAGAGTAAAATAATGAAAACCCTTTAAGCTCTCAACCATTCAGAAGTTCACAATCCAGGTAGTGGTATGGTGAAGGGAGTAGATACATGCATATATAAATAATATACAAGTGCTTGCATGTTTACACCAACACTATTCACTATAGCTAAAATGTACAAATGACCCAAAGATCAATGAGCGAAAAGATGGACAAACTGCATTATGTAAATATAATAGAATATGGTTAAATCCTAAAAGGAATGAGGTACTGATACAATATAGAGAGAATGCTATTATAAGCATCCATGTATCCTTGTCATCCTTTGTTTTTCCCATCCTAAATGATGTGGGTTTTTTTGTATTTTAGGGAAGGGTCTACAGGGTGGTCAGGGGGTCTCACTACTAGATCTGACTCATAGTGATGTGCCTGTTTACAGCCTCCCAAGAGCTGAGATTAAAAGTGCACACCACCATGCCCAGTCTCAATTGCCATCTCAGCAGACCCTGGGAACCGGGCCAGCACAGCAGGCCTGGGAATTGAACTTTGGGCCCCTGCGCCTGCTTGCAGGTGCTTTAATCTGCTGAGCTATTTGGCCAGCCCAATGATGTGTTTCTTTTCCAGCCACACCCACACATGCTACCTTCAGGTGCATCTCTCATAGTATGCTTACTGTTCCAGGTACATGTGCATAGTCATTACATGGTGTTCATTCTGTGTGGGTTTCACACTTCATTTACATACATTTATGGTGTCTTGTTTATATCCCGCTGGATCCAGCTTTCTCCTTTATGCATTTTTCTCCTGACATCACCTGTGTCACTTTCTATTCAGTTTGTCTGCAATGATTCCAGCCCACGGAATTAAGGCTAGTCCTACTTCAGGTGAGTCTCAGCTACTTCCCCTTTGTTTTTTTGTTTTGTTTTGTTTTTCATACCGGGGATCCATCTTGGGACGTTGGGCTTGCCAGGCTGGCACTTATGCTGCTGAGCTGTATCTCCAGACCTGTGCTATTGTTCTAAACTAGCAGTTTTCAAACTTTAGTGGGCATGAGAATCCCCCAGAGGGCTGGTTAAAAGATAGATACATCACTGGGTCCACCACACAGTTGCTAATTCACAGGTAACTTATGTGTGAGAATTTTTGCATTTGTACCAAGTACTCAAGTGATGTTGCTGTTCCAGAGATTATACCTGGAGAGCTACTGCTGCACATAAAAGTCCTGGCACAGGCTTGCCCCCAGGCAACGTGGCCATCTCATGTAAGACTTCCTTGAAAACTATGTTCTACAGCAATACTGTCTAACAGACATGTAATTTGATCCAAATGTGTAATTTAAATGTTCTAGTAGTCACATTAAAAACCTCAAAAGTTGATGAAAGTAATTTTAATTCTGTATTTTGTTAAACTTAATACATTACTGATATGCAATGTTTTTAAGATAGTTTACAGTTTTTCATACATACAGCATATTTCAAATCAGACTAGTCACATATTACATCCTCAGTGGCCATAGGTGGCTAAATGACCAATATAATTTAGTTTTAAAGAAGCCCTGACATTCCATCTCTCTCCTTAGAAAAAAATTTAAACTTCACACTTTTTAATTAAAGAATAAAAGAATTTTTACGTTAACAAAATATTGGAAAGTTATTCATTTTAAATTAAGATAGAAGATGTAAAAAAGATTTGAGTATTATTTTGAAAAAAGATCTACTTAATCCTTCAAAATGAACTTATTTTTAACTTGAACACATAGAGAAAAGTCAAGTATCACTAGGTATCATATTTAAGGTGACAAACTTTGGAAAGAAGTTAACACTAATGAGGTTCTCTTGAGCATCTAAACACTTAAAAACCAAAAAACAGTAGTATGTTGGATCCTTTCTTCTTTCTCCATCCTTTCTAGTCTTCAGATCTACAGATAAAAAAATGAGAGAAAATTACCAATTATACAATATTAACTGCTTTCTATATCTAAGACAACAATAGTAGCATACAAAACATATATGATGCATTTAGGAATTTTGAATGATATTCAAATCTATAGACATACCTGGGTTTCCCAAGGCTGCCACCTGCTGTGTCTGCCTCCTCTTCCAGTTGTTGTTGATCTTCAATGGCCTTCTCAGTTTCTTCCTCTGCTTCTTTTTCTTTTTCGCCTCCAAAATTATCATCTTCACTCCGCTTTTCACAGATGCTCTGAGTTACTCCTTTAGTGAAAAGTAATACAGACTTTCGAAGTAGACACTCATAGGAAAAATAGCCCAATTCATAACCCATGATAGCACTCTACTCTATTCTCAGAAGGTGCAGGGGAGAAAAATAACTGAGAAATGAATAGCCTTAAATTGGATGAAGGTTGCACCCACTGCTTCCCCTCCCAGGGCCGGCACAGAGTAGGGCCAACAGCTTCCCCGGGGGTGAGGTCCTTGCCCACCTCCCGCCGTCCCCTCCTGGCCAATGTCCCACCTTCCACCTGTTCTTCACCCTCGGCCTCCATTGTGGTCTGCTGATTGCTTGTCACCGTTTCCGTCAGCGGTTCCTCAGTGGCTTCCATCAGCAGTTCCTCAGAGGCCTCCGCTGATGAGGTGGTGGCGTCATTGCTACTGGCTGTTGGCTCCTCGACGTCGGGGGCCACGACGACTGCCGCAGCTTGGCCCTCGCCTTCACCCTGCTGTGGCGCCCCATCCCTGGACCACGCGGGCACGCGGAGCACCGGCTGCAGGCCGAGGCCATGGTGGGGGCGCGCAAGCTGGTGCGAGGCTGCTGCGTACAGGCGCCGGCTCAGCGTCAGGACGTCCTCATAGGGGCGGATCAGCAGGTGGTCGTTGTGGTGCGCGCGTTGCAGGAGTGAGTTGATCAGCTCCACGAACGTGACACGGAAGTTAATCAGTGGGAACTGCCGTGGGTCTACGAACCGATTGATCAACTGGTCCCTGTCCTCCTCCTCCTCAGCTGGCCCAATGGAGGAGGAAGACGAGGAGGACAGAGCGGACCCCAGCTCGGAGCCCGCCACCTCTGGCCCTCTGACCTCGGCTGCAGCGGCTACCTCGGCTTCGCAGCTTGCCTGGGCTACACAGACCTCACCGGTCTCGGCGTCGGTCCAGGTCCCGGCCTCGGTCACGGACTCGGTCTCGGTCACGGTACCGGCCTCGGTCTCGGTCACGGTACCGGCCTCGGTCACGGACTCGGTCCC